ATAATAGTATTAATAATAATGCCGAAATTTTCTATACTCTGCTGAAATCTAATCTACTCTGCTCTGTCCAGAAGCTCAAAAGAATAGGGCCTAAGTGTAACTTAGCCTTGTAGGGTTGTCCTTTATTTTCATAGACACTTAAAATTTCCATGAATTTCCTTTTGGCCATCTTATTTGGTTAGCGTTAAAAATAAAATAAAGAAGTCAAAATTCATGTAATTACAATTTCCCACAAAGAATTTATACTCACCCACCCTTGTTCAATCATAAGTCCTATGATTGACAAATACAACCAAACATATTTGTGTAAATCCTAGGAATTTTATAAGGCAATTAATTTCTCATGTATTAGAAAATCTTCAGAGTTTGTCCGATATTCTAAGCTAATATAGTATACTTAAAGTGGGTTTGATCGTGCTGGTGGATTTTCAATAGAGGGATTGTACTTGCGGTTCTTGTTCTTGACTTCTCTTTACAAACACGCTCTAAAGGTATAATTTTAAAAGTATATTATGTGTTGTGATTAATCTTTTGAATTATTTCTCATAGAAATTTTTTCCATCCATCAACCAAACGAGGCCATAATATGGAAACACAACCTATAATCTCCATGATAAGATATAATCTTATCCGCCAAGCTTGTGTTGTTTTCTTCCTATTTGTCCATTATCATCCATTACTTGATTATGGAGAAGGCTTTTTTCGTTGATTGCACGAGCTAGCCTGCAAGTCTTCCGCTGACTAATCTCCTATCGGTAGAAAGCCCAACCAGTAACCAAAAGAAGCAAGCCGGCTTCGGTAGTGGTAGTAGCTTCAAAGGAATTGGTAGTATGTCTTGAATAGGAAAGCTTTCATAATGTATGAACTCAACCTATGTTCAAGAGCTTGAACAATGAAGTGAAAGGCTTGACTTTAGAACAATCAATCGAACGGCTAAGGCCAAGGTAAGGGCCTGTTCATAATCCCTATTCAAATTACTTGCTTGACTGATTAAGGTGGCTTTCCTCTTGTTGCAGTCACTGTGGCTCTTGCTTGAGCCGAGAAGTAAAGAAGGCACAGAGGTGAGAAGTGTTTAGATTATAGATACGAAGGTACAAAGTGGATTTCTCATGGCCCCCCAATGAATCCTTTTTATGCTATACGAGCATAAACAAGAACCATTTATTTAAAAGACCCGCAGGTTGAGGTAGTTTCTACTTGCTTACTTCTTAGAGTAAGGGAGAACTGCTTTGATTCATTTTCCACGCATAAAAGGGTTGTAATAGCTAAAGCTATGCTTTTGGAAAGCGGTCCCTTACCTTGTGACCTCTATTTCCTTCCCGTAATCGAACCTTCCACAGAAAGCAGCTCGCACTCGGTAATAAGACTTTAACATGGATTCTTTCCCATCGACTGGACCTTTCACAGGGACCAGGACGAATAGGGAACGGGAACTACTCTTTTCGTTTCGGGATTGGAGTAGGTAAGGGCAGCGGGACCAGCAAAGCAAGATGAACAATCGGACCAAGCAAGCTATTAAGACAACTAACAAAGCCACAAGCTACAGGCAGGATCCTTTGTTAGCTCTACGATTAAGGAGTACGTCACCTTCCTTTAGTAAACTAACCTCGTCGTATGTTGAGTTTTACTATACTAAATGAGTTGGCCTATTTGAGTCTTTCCTTTCTTTTTCACTATAGGAATCGACACAAGCACAACACAAGCAAAGAGGGAAAGAAGCAATCTAAACCATTTAGGATAGAATGACTCGCCACTGAATAGCAAAGAAAGGAAACTCTTTCTTTGCCTCTGGTTAAGCCCCTTCTTACGTAGGACATCGCAAGCTCCTCGCCTTCCGCCAGAAATCAAGGGCGGCAAGATATGAAGCAGGCCATGAAATAGGTATAATAAGAATTTAGAAAGCCCTATATAAGATATATAATAAATAGGGCCTTTAACAGAGACCAAGGCAAGTAAGCCCGAAGTAGCGTAAGATGAAAGGCACAAAGCTTGACCTTAGAGGTCGGGAAAGGATTTGCTTCTATCTTTCTCATGCTGCTCGACCGTCGGAAGAGGGTGTTTGGAGCTTTCCTGCTTGTGAGTGAGGTTAGAGCGCTAACTAGACCCATTGGATTCTACTTTTCTTTGACTTAACTCTCTCCCCCGATCCGGATTTTGTGCTCTATGAGTGATCAACCGTATCACTTTGAGTAGTTAAAAAGCAGTGGGCCCATCTTCTTACTTAACGAGTTTGTGCCCCTTCTCTTGGTTTTCTATTCAAGGTTGTTAGCTCGACTTATCCTATTAGAACTTTACCTTACGTCGTAGCATCAGTGGAGCTCCTGGCTGAGGGTTACGTTCTGAGAATTCGACTAAGGGAGGCTCTCAATAGGTTGGAGGTTCATTCTCACCGATAAGGAGAGAGTCAACAGCTGGTGCCAACGCATAAGTACTCTCTTCTTTTAAGTAGTGCTCCTACCTTAGGGAGAGGAATATCAACCAACAAAGTAGGGGCTTTGGGTCTATAGACCTAGATCAAAGGGATAGAAGGTTACCTAAGTCGACAGAGATGAAGGACTCGGCTGATAATGCTAAGGATAGGGTTTAGGCTAGAGGTGCAAGGGAAAGGGGAGAGAGAATATCCCGGCTAGAAAAAGCCGATTCATACCATTCCTCGGGCTGACTTAACTCAGCAACTCTTAACTAAAGAATAACTCTAGCAACTAGTGCCCTCAGGGTGGATATCTCAAATCCAAAGAGCAACAAAGAAACTATCTAGCTCTAATAAGAGTTCGGCCTTACCAAAGTAAAGAGATTGGGCTCCTATAGTCATAGTCTCCGTATTATCCTCTGAAAGGCAATTTGAAAGGTCAGAAGGAGCTCCCCCATAAGAGAGAGGAATGAAAGGAAGTAGCTCTAATAAAATGAAGAAGTCAAAATTCATGTAATTACAATTTCCCACAAAGAATTTATACTCACCCACCCTTGTTCAATCACAAGTCCTATGATTGACAAATACAACCAAACATATTTGTGTAAATCCTAGGAATTTTATAAGGCAAGTAATTTCTCATGTATTAGAAAATCTTCAGAGTTTGTCCGGTATTCTAAGCTAATATAGTATACTTAAAGGGGGTTTGATCGTGCTGGTGGATTTTCAATAGAGGGATTGTACTTGCGGTTCTTGTTCTTGACTTCTCTTTACAAACACGCCCTAAAGGTATACTTTTAAAAGTATATTATGTGTTGTGATTAATCTTTTGAATTATTTATCATAGAAATTTTTTCCATCCATCAACCAAACGAGGCCATAGTATGGAAACACAACCTATAATCTCCATGATAAGATATAATCTTATCCGCCAAGCTTGTGTTGTTTTCTTCCTATTTGTCCATTATCATCCATTACTTCTTAGAAAGGTAAAAGGTGGTATTTACAGTGGCGGATCCAGGATTTAAATAATAGGTTGTCCCATCCCATCATCGTCCACCGACCGCATAATATCAAAAAATAATCAAAGCTTGAATAATGGACAAAAAAAATACATAAAAAAGTTAATTTCATAAAGTAATTCAAATTCATATTACAACTAAAAAAGTACTAATTTTATTACAATTGCTCTCGACGAGTTTTCATATTTTGATAACGATGTACAATATCATCCATGCTTGAAATAATGTGACAAGAGTAGGCACTTTTTTAGTAAAAAAAACTTGAAATATCTCGAGTTGTTTTTATTTTCATTCTGAAATTGAAGTTAAAGGTTGAATTAGATAAATCATACAAGTAGGGTTCTCTCAAGGTTATTAAAACTAATAATATCATAAAAAAAACGCCCATTGACCTCAATTTCAGTCCACCAAACCCCAAATCTCCAAATTAGCAATCACCATTCTCAATAGCTAATAAGCAAGTTGGACAACTATTATTATTTATCAATTAAACAGAAATAATACTATCCTCAGGTTTTATTGGCAAAGAAATTAGAATTCGGAGTCAGAATGGGAACACGAAGCTCATAAGCAATATTGGTCACTTTCTTCTTGTCACATTCTCACTCTTCTATAGCATTTTTTGGAGGGAGAATGGACGGAATGACTACTTACTACCTGAGCATCATCGAGTTCAAGCTTAGTCACGGAAAATTCATACAAAGGAGGTTGACAAAAATCCCCCAAAACCGTCTTACATCTTATGATAAGTAAGATATTGAGCAACCAAAAATTGAAGAGTTGTTGCAAATTTCATGAAAAGTAACTCACACGGAAATTGCAGCAATAAACCTGAAGAACCCTGAAGTATGCAGCTATAGATCCTAATACTATATCAAGCACTAATCAAATCAAGAAATTTCAACCAAAAAAAAAAAAAAAAAAAACTCATACACTGATATTAAATATACTGATAATTTTGATAATTAAACATTTAAATTGATGATTTCATATAGAATCTAATCAATCTATAATCTTATTGCAATGCAATTATATAAATTAAAAGTTTAAAACTAACTTACAAAAATCGAATTTGGGGAGCCACTGCACGAGCACGACGCTACGACAACCTCACAGACGGATTGACGGACGCCTCACGCCTGACGGAGAAGCACGAAAAGGCTGCCGATGATACGGTGAACGGCGACGGGGGCACTGGGACGGGGCTGCTGCGGATTTCAATTTGGGTGACTTTGAGACTTAGGGTTTCAATTTTGGGGGAATTGGGGATTTGGGGATATGTTCAGTGTGCTGCCTTCTGACTTTTCTAAATCATGAAAATGATGTTGTAAAGCCAAAAAAAAAAAAAAAAAAATTGTGAGTAATGGGATTCGAATCCATATCTCGTATGTGGTAGGATGGGGAAAAAACCACTAGGCTGCAAGCTAAAGATTTGATACTTATTTTTTTTTTTTTATATAAAATAATAGGTTGTCCGCGGACCCACTATGACTACACGTGGGTCCGCCACTGGGTATTTAGTGGGAATGAAAATTTATGAAGAGATATAGTCAAGTTAGTGGTAATATTGAGTAATTATGTGAATGAACATTAATTTCAATCCAAATTCATTCTCACTACCAAACGGGCCGTGAAGGGTATTTTTGTTCGTAGATAGCTCGTACTTGAGTTGGGAATTGGAAGGTGGTGACCGGTGAGTAGTGCTCCAGCTCCAGAATAGGGATAATGGCGGCCACCGTAGTGTCTGCTGCTTCAGTGGTTGCATCGGCCACCGTAATTTCGAAGTTGCAACCTATGCAAATTCTGAGACTATTTACTGCCTCTACTTGCATATCTACTTCTTCTTCTGCACCGTTAGGACTCCAATCCCGCGGAAGGAGGATGATGATGGTGCACTCTCTCAGCAGCAGCAGCCCTACATTAGGACTCACTCAACCTGCTACTCTTGAACCTCTTCAGGTTTATCTCTCTCTATATTGGCTTTTGTTTTCGTTTCCTTTAATCACAATTTTATACCCTGTCCAGACAAAAATTGATTAGTCGTCGGCGTTGTTATATCAGTCTAGAATCACCAACAACCAAAAATTAATGGCTTTTGTTTTCGTTTCCTTTAATCACAATTTTATACCCTGACCAGAAAAAAATCGATCAGTCGTCGGCGTTGTTATATCAGTCTAGAATCACCAACAACCAATAATTAAATTAACAGTACATTACCAGATTATGCTCTCAACAAGAAACTATTTCATATGTGTCACAATCGGCTTGGTTGTGCATCGACAATAATCAAATTAATTTAATTTACTGTTTGCAAGGAAGATATCATTTGCGGTTAAAGATATTGATGTGGCAGAATGGAAAGGAGACCTGCTTGCTGTGGGTGTTACAGAGAATGACATGAGCAAGGATGACAATATGATTTTTCAAAATTCTATCTTAAAGAGGTTAGATTCCCTACTCGGTGGTTTACTAACTGAAGCTTCTGTTGAGGAAGATTTCACGGGCAAGACTGGCCAGTCCACTTTTCTTAGGCTTCACGGTTTTGGATCCAAGAGGATTGGTTTGATCGGACTTGGTTCGAACCCTCCTTCGATCCCAGCATACCGTGCTCTTGGTGAAGCTCTTGCCTCTGCTGCTAAGACTGCACGAGCTCGTAATATTGCTGTCTTCCTTGCTTCTTCTGACCCCCTTTCCAACCTAAACACTGTCTCTGCCATCACTTCTGGTAACTGCTAAATGCCTCTACTCTTTTTTTTTTTTTTAAATGCTTGTCCTATTCCTGATACTTCAGATATATTTATCGTCTGTCTCAGGTACTATTCTTGGAATGCATGAAGATAACAGGTTTAAATCAGACTCAAAGAAACCACTTCTTAAATCTTTGGATATTATTGGCCTTGGAACTGGCCTTGATTTAGAAAATAAGCTCAAATCTGTTGAAGATGTTTGTTCTGGAATTATATTTGGAAGAGAGCTGGTTAATGCACCTCCTAACGTACTCACACCTGGTTAGATGCCTGTTATATCTTATTCGGTTTCAGTTGACTATCTTACCTTTCTATGTTCAACTACCTAAGAGGGTAGTGCACGATTATCAAATTCATGTCTTATCTGTTGTTTTTTTTGAGCTTGAGTTGGGTTTGGAGGAGGGGATAAGGGAAGAATAAACTACTAAGCTTTATGCCTTTATGACTAACTACATGTGTTCAATTTATTCCTCAGGTGTACTTGCTGAAGAGGCTTCTAAGATTGCCTCAATGTACAGTGATGTTCTGTTGGCAAAGATTCTTAGTGTAGAGCAGTGCAAAGAACTGAAAATGGGATCTTACCTTGCGGTTGCTGCGGCTTCAGCAAATCCACCTCACTTCATTCATCTATGCTACAAACCTAGTGGGCCAGTAAAAACTAGATTAGGGATTGTTGGAAAAGGACTGACATTTGACAGGTGGGTTTGTGTGGGATGGTTTTTTATCATTATAAAATGATGTTTTACCCATTGAAAACAGAGTGGTGCCTGATTTTGTAATTTACTTTAGTCATCTATGACGTGGGAGGGGGGTGATGAGATGCTACTTACTGAAACATTAAAAAAAATGAGCTGTTCAGTCTGTATGTGACTGTGGATTTGACTTTAAATGTCTCTTATTGTGGCATCATGTCCTGGGAGGGGGTGATACTTCTTAGTACGTAAATGGTCTTTGTTGCTCATGCTATTAGCCCCGTAAAATTTCTCTGTGCCCACAGTCCCTATTTGTCTGCCCTCCCTCCTTTCAACAAAACATTTCTTTGTCTAGAAGTTGACGATTGATGGGGGTTTTTAATTGCATAGTTGCCTCTGATAATCTTCTCCTGAATTATTGACTTTGTTCTTCTTACATTTGATGTGTGTTTTGTAAGGTTCTTTTTCTTACTCATCAAATGTCAAGAGTGGTCTCTATCTGTATTTTCCTGTTAGAAGTACATTTGTATTCTGAATATGGAATATTTCTGAGTGTATCACTTTGATTTTGTAGTGGGGGATACAACATTAAAACTGGACCTGGCTGTTCAATTGAGCTAATGAAGTTTGATATGGGCGGTTCAGCAGCAGTTTTAGGTGCAGCTAAAGCGATTGGTCAAATCAAGCCTGCTGGAGTTGAGGTAAGTCACAAAAAATATTCTCTCACTAATTATATAGGAATAAGTGGAAAAAGAAAAAAAAAAATTCTTCTCCAAATTGTGTAAAGCTAGAATCCTAGAACTACTTTAACTTTTAAAGCTGTGAATTTGTATTCTTCGTTTATATTTTCGAATACAATTTGTATATGAATCATTGAGGATCTTGGACATGTGCAGGTTCATTTTATTGTTGCTGCCTGTGAAAATATGATTAGTGGGACTGGTATGCGGCCTGGAGATATAGTCACTGCTTCTAATGGAAAGACAATAGAGGTAGTTTATTGAAAGCAATGAATTTATTATTACAAAGTATGCATTTGGCATATGTGACTAAATTAATTTGGGTATATTCTTTCAAAAAATAAAATATAATTTGGGTATATCTGTTCTATAGTGAAAACTATATGCTTTGAAAGCCCTATTGCACGGGCTTTGGATGAGTTAAAAGCCAAGTATTTTACAACAAGATTGGCATCCTCTATCCTCTTCTGTGTGTAGTCTGAAGGGAATGTCAAATGTGCGCTTCCTTTTCTTAACAAACCACAGAAGGTGTTTTGTGGAATTTCTGCATAGAAAGAAGAATGCCCCCATCCGTATTATCTATCCTCTTCACTATTTTTTTTTTAAAATTAAGTGTCGGTTGAAAATGAGATAATTAGGAAGAAAGTAGGGGTTATATCTATTGAGTACAAGATGAGGGAAAATCGTTTAAGGTGGTTTGTCCATGTACTAGGAGGCTTGGAGAGTTGCAAAGTGTTGGCAGGGGCCGGTGGCCCAATCCCGTGGCCCATATTTTTTTTTTAATATGGCCCCTGTAAAGTTTAGTACTATTGAACTCCCTTGTATGGCATAATTATTTTCTTGTTTAAGTGGTAAGTGGGTGTAATTATTACACAAGGGTACTGGGTTGGAGGATGCATATGGGCTATAACGTAATTTTTTTTTATTAATGTTTTTTTGAAAAATTAAAAATAAATTACAAAACCATTTCTAAAAACTCCAGACTTCCACTTGCTTTCTAGAGACTTCGACCACTTCGTCAATGTCAGTTCATCTTCTCTTTTTTAAATTTTTTTCCCCATAAATTTGCTTAAACCTTTCTTCAATTCCTCTTTTAATCTTTTTAAATTTCTTGAATCATCACTTATATGATATCAAAATTCAATTTTCTATATACAAAGCCAATTCTAAAGAGGATAACAATTTCAACCCTAGAAATTCACCTTAATTTAATTGGTTTGTTTTCTTTGATTCTTCCTTTATTTTAACTAGTTTCATTCATAATTTAGTGTTTTAGTATGATGTATGTGATTTTTATTTTATTTTTATTTTTTTTTAAATTTTTTTTATAACTTTTGTGGGGAGTTTTTGTTTAATTCATGACTTTGCCCTTTCTATGATTTTTTTTTGGGTCTTTAATTATGCATTATGCTTAATTGCTTATGCAAAAAAATTTCTACTACTATTTTCGAGTAATTCTAAGCATAGTATATAGTTGGACTATAGAAGGTTTAGCAATGAAAATTGATGATAATTGGCAATCACCTTGTATGTGAATGTGAGTAAACTATAATCTAGTAGGTCTAATACACAAGGTGGTAGCTATGGGGGGCTGGCCGGTTTGCCCCGGTAGATTTAAAATCCGGCTACGCCCTTGGCGTTGGGATTGCGAGGGGTAGAGGAAGACCTTAGAATACTTGGAAGAGAATGATTGAGATTTGAGAGTGATATTAGTGCTTTGGGGATTGAGGAAAAAATGGTGTTGGATAGGGCGATGTGGAGGGTGAAAATTCATGTCAACCACGTGTCATGATTATATATATATATACTTTTGTTTATATTATCTTAGTATTTACCTATATAACCTTTATTAATACGTTTATAACCTTTATTGATTTCTTTTGCTAAAGTTTTCTCAAGCTATTATGGTTTTTTTTACTAATACGTTTTTACCACTTCTTAAAACTTTCTTAAATTTTATTCTCGGCACTCTTTTAAAGCTCTCTTAAATTTCATTTGTAAATTTTTTAGAAACGGTTATCTTGTTATATTCTTTTTTCTTTGTCGAACGATCCCAAATTATTTTGGGACCAAGGCTTTGTTGTTGTTGTTATTGTTGTTGTATTACTAGTTAATTATAATACCAATGTGATATTTGTATCATTAAGAGAGTTTTATGCAATACTCCTCGTCTCATACTATAAAACCTATTTGGGTTTTTTCACGGGAAATAAGGAGGTTGTAGATTTCGTAAATTTATGATTGGGAGTACATATGTGCATGTGAAGTTAGAGAGAGATAGAGAGAAAGAGAAAGTAGTTGAGAATTATTGAAGAGAGAGAGAGAGAGAAAGTTTTGAGAATTAATGTCAAAAGACATCATTAATACAAAAAAGAAATAGAAAAAAAAATGACCACTCATAAAAAAAAAGAGGGGAATATTGTCAAAAAGTACAACCATTAAATATATATAGGCTTTTGATTTTGGTTTACCCAAAAAGGAATACATGTTTTGTAATATGAGACGGATGGAGTATTGTTTATATTTTTTTTTTTTGCATAATGTTAGGACGTTTATTAACAAATGTAGGGACTGGAGGGAGAATTTGAAAATTGAGTAGGTAGTGATGATAAGTAGATGAGATAGTCTTCCACCGTTATAAAGGGTTATAGTAGACTCTTGATACGGAAGATTTTTTTATATTACACCACTCAAATATTCTGGCATCAACCAAAACATCGTTAAAACTTGAAATCTCGAATCCAACGAAGGTTAGCAAATTAGAGAACACTAGGTCATCTTAGATTCCTTAGCAAACCATTAGGTGGTTTTTTTAATTAATCAATTAATTAATTTATTATTGTTATTATTATTATTTGGTATAAAAATATTTCTTCCATCTTGATGCGTCTAGTGTGGAGAGTTTGCAGATCCTTTTGATGAAATCCTTCAAAGTGAAGAAAAAGGGGCAATTAGCTAGTATGGTCCATTACAACATCTGAGTTGATGATAAGCACTAAAGAGAGTCATGTGATTAATTTACATTAATTACTGTATTATTTTATAGAAAATATTGTTTGCGCGTTTCACTTGTATGTGTTTCAATATCTAACTTCTGCTTTCCAATCATAATCCTGAATGCAGGTAAACAATACCGATGCAGAAGGTAGGCTTACTCTTGCAGATGCTTTGGTGTACACTTGCAATCAAGGTGTAGAGAAGGTATATTTAAGTGGTATATATCGTTGCAAAATGATGATTGAATGGATATGCATGCATGCGCCTGCACACAAACATTAGGATGGAGAGTTGAAGTGGCTTGCTCCTCTACCCCTCACATCTGGCACAATTCATGAGTGTTCAATTCTTATTACCCCCAACCCCGTAGTGTTTTTGTGTGGATGTTTGTGTGATATACTTTTGCTTGATATTTGTTTTCAATTTCATCGTTTTTGGGCCATTTTTCAATTATGTCTAAAGAAGACTAAGGAGGTGTTTGGTTCATAGGTTTTAGGTATGGGGTGATTGGGTGTGCACCGGTCCAAAACTGGACCAGGATCAGAATGTAGATTCTTCTAGGATCGGAATAACCGGTCCGTACCTAAAAAGTAGTCCGGTTCCGGTTTTGGACCTAATCGGAGTTTGCCTTTTTATATATATACACATTTATTTTAATTATCATGGTTAGATGACTTAGATCTAAATATTTATAAAAACAACTTTAACATATATGTATAATCTAGAATATTTACAACATACTTTCTCCGTTCCAAATTAGATGACACAGTTTGACTTTGTGCACTATTCACATAACTTGCTTTTACTTCACTTTGTGATTTCGTTTTGAGAAAAAACGTAGTCATGTGGGATTTTGTTAGATTCGTCTCAAACATCTATCTTTCAAAAATCAAATTTTTATTATTTTTGCTAATATGTAATCAAGGATATTTGCATTAGAAAGCATGCATGGACAAATGTACCTGAATGGAATGTGTCATTTAATATGAAACAGAGGAAGTATAAATATGCAATACACAATCTAGCACTGGATCCTACCTACGTTTAATGCATTCTTAGTTGTCGCTGAAAGAGAACAAACCTTTGTCGAATATTAGGTAGTTAGGAAAGAATATCTTATACCCTTACTCTTCTCCGTGGCAAGCTACGCACCATTGTGCGAGCTCGAAGTGATGAATATGGAGACTCGCAGCTCATCCCAACTGTACGAGATGTTGCATATTCGCTATCAATAGGGTTTGGTTTATTAACTAGCCTTTTGAAGAATAAGATAGAAGGCGGCTTAATGCCAGCTATTTTAAGACACGATGCCACTAGTAAGAGATGCTGACATTTATGCTACTTCCAACACCCATTCTCATTAGCAAAATTAGCCATGCATCTCGACAAGTCCTCTTGAGGAACTACCGATATAACTTTATCAAGGGTTTTTCCCATTCACCATAAACCTTCAATAAATTTAGAATCCGCCCATTGACAATTACCCACTTCATCCCTATCCCTTAAGTCGAGTCATTGATTTTAGTGCTTTTAATAATCCCACACCTTACAACGATTATAACATTTAAAAGTATAGAATTTAGAAACATTAAATTTGAAATTATTGGATTAAAACAAAAAAGTTTGGGGGAATATACATTATAGTATTATACATAGTACTTAAATTCCAAAAATGAATAAAGCTTACAACAATTCAATGAACCAGTATTAAAAAAATATATTTTTTTTTTAAGAAAACCAAAAATTAATAATTAACATACTTCTGTGGTTCCTACCTATGTTACATGGACTCGGGAACGGGTGTCGGACACGGACACATGTCCAAGTGTCCGATCCGGCAAGTTCCAAAATTTTAGGACACGGGGACTTTGTCCGATATTTGGACACGTGTACGGGGACACATTATACGTCACTTAAATTTATATTAATAAATTATATATTACAAAAGTTTCAAATTTTTCATTATGTCTACCCCTATTTTTTATTTTTATTTTAATTCTTCCTCGGTTAATTCTCCTAATAAATGGCAATCTTCTTCTCTCCATCTTCTCCATACTAATGGTGGTTTTCGAACAGATATGTTTTTCTTTCATGTTTCTTCTCTTTTTTCCTCTCTTCTCTTAATGGAAAGTGTCCTTCTGCACGGTGAAGGATCGGACACGTGTCCCGTGTCCGTGAAGTGTCGTGCCGACATGGACTCTTTGCGATATTAGCCGTGTCCGATTAACATAGGTTCCTACCTGTTAAACAACAAAGCAATAATGTAATGCAAAGTTTTAAAAAACAAAATGAATCCCTAAAAAGGAAAAAAAAACGATTATATATGTTGTTGCTGTCAGCCCCGAGACCAAAGTGGTGGATTGGTGGCCGCCGGTGTATCCTCGCTAGTGGCCAACAATGTGCACAGTAGTGGTTCTTTAGTGTTTTCTTCTGTTTGTTTTGAAAGAGGGAGTTAGGATGAGTGAGAGAGGGATGGTGGGTAGGGTTTTTGTTTTGAGAGGGAGGGAGTGTCTGTGTATGTTTTTAAAAAAACTATGTATATGGACCAGGAGGGAAGGAGTGGGTGTCTCCAAACCAGAAACCTAGACCGAAAACCCAAAATCACCTAATTTCATGCTATCGGAGATCAAACCTATTCCAATTCGGATTCAGGTCTTTTTTTGCACACCCCTATGAGGTATTGGGTTGGAATGAGTAAAACTAATACCTAGTTTTATATATATATTTTTTATTTAATAAAATCCAGTTTTAAACCTATACCTCAAACATACAAGGTATGGGGTTTAAAAACCCAAGAGGTGGGTATGGCTCATAAGAGTATTAAGAATCAAGTTCCAACCATATACCACTTTAGTTTTATTCCTGATTCCAAACCCATATCACCTTGTCATAAGGGTTGTAGTCTACGTTATAAGTGACGAGCACCAGTGTCCAAGAAACATAGGTTGTAGAACAATAGAAGTCAATTTTTTTTTATTTTTAATTAGTTTATTAGAAATTTACGTCTTATCATAAACGGCCTATGCTATCGATTTAGATGACATTTTTAAAATGGGCAATGTTGAATATTATTTAGTCTTGTTAAGAACAGGAATTATGTTAACAACTCAAAAAAAGGAGCACAAACAAAAGAGGACAAGCTTTCCTCTAAACCCTAAAATTTACACCCCAATTGATTAATCCTAAATAGGTGTTCCACCTTATAACCTATCACAAACACCACATTAGATAAATCACACAGAAAGATCAACACCTTCCTTGAAATTGCCATGAAAGGATTGCACCATAACAACTTCTCATTACTCTTGCCAATCTAAAACTGTTATGTCCTAACTTCTAATCAATATATTTAATGAGTTAATCCAAAATTAGCAACAGATTCCTAGCAAGTCTTATCTCTCATTTTTTAGAGATAACAGCAAAAAATTTCATTAATTATATTTAATCATAATTGAGTGGGCTTGGAAGGGTTGCATACTTGACAATGTTGTTTGTCCCAACTATTAGTTAAAAAGTAATTTACGCATAAAATTAATAACTGCTTTTAGCTACTAAAGACAACTATGACACGTTAGCTCTACTTTTAAAGGAAACAATAACTATTATAGAGGAGACAAAAGCATGCGGTCCTTGTCTACGTGGCCTCTTTATGTTTCCCCATTTTCTTTATTCTTGGAAAAATGCTCACTTTTTTTGAAGACATCACATAATTAGCCGTCCTAACTACTGTGTAATATTATGAAGAACTATTTGTTTTTGCTGCTGTGTTAATTTAGTAATTGAGGTTTTTACTTCCCCCGTACTTGTATTGCAAATTGTATTGCCCCACGTTCTATGTAACAATGTGTTGAACTTCTTAGAAGGCAAGCTTACTACATTTTTACTTGTATGCATGGTATAATCCTAACGAGATTGTGAGCTAGGTGTTATGATCCTTTTTGATTTTAACAGAAAATCCATCTTTGATCAATCGTTTTCTTTGTGTGTAAAATTGGCGTCCAAGAGATGCGCTTATTACTTTGTTGTACCTTTGGCAGATAATTGATCTCGCAACATTAACTGGAGCCTGTGTTGTTGCTTTGGGACCTTCCATAGCAGGTAAAGTGCATAATTAAGATCTTTCTTTGCCATCAACTAATTTGCCAAACATGGTTGAAGTGGTCTTCAAAGTTAATCAATATTGTTATTATTTAGGCTCTGTTCTATTCACCTTATTTTTTCTAACCTTAAATTATTTTTGCAATACTTAATTATTTTTACTGATTAAAACTTATTTTTATTCATCTCTATTACATTTTTTCCTTGAACTTACGGAAATTTACCGATTAAAACTTATTATTGCTTAACTGAACTTATTTTTGCTTAACTGAACTGATTTTTACTGAAAGCATTTGAATAAAGTGAAGAGAATAGGGCCTAATTAGTCCCATAAGGCAAGGATGTCAGATAAGTCATGCCAGGCACAATCTGTGATTTTTTCTCTCCTCTTGTTGTCTTTGATTGTTGATATAATTCAGCTAGCACTCACTCATCCCTGTTTGTTGTCCAGGTGTCTTTACACCCAATGACGCACTTGCCAAAGAGGTGTTTGCTGCATCAGAAGCTACCGGAGAGAAATTCTGGAGGATGCCTTTGGAAGAAAGTTACTGGGACTCGATGAAATCAGGAGTGGCTGATATGGTTAACACCGGGGGGCGTCAAGGTGGTTCTATCACCGCAGCTCTGTTTTTGAAACAGGTAGGCTCAATACTTTATCTTGCTTTTTTTATTTTTTATTATTTTTATTATTTTAACTTAAATGTTGCCCGTAGTGGTACTTTCTATCACCTTTACGTAAGCTTTTCCCCAGGCCATTACTGTTACAACTCCTTTTTATTTGGCTCTTCTTGTTATCTTCATTTTAGTAGCATTTTGCTCAATTATTGGCACCGATTTAATAATACAATATCTTTCTGCTATCACAAATTTCAGGACTTCTTTTTTTATTCCTCTAAGGGGGAAGGTTGACCTTATTGGTTAATGGTGTATATTGTCAAGCATCCATCGTTACCTTATGTAGTTATCCTTGTTCATTTGTTGCTCCTTCAATTGAGAAATTTGAGTGGATGTAGTTTACCATTGGCTTAACTTTGTGGGCTAAAGTCGTATCACCTATTCAAAATTTAATCATAGAGTCCACTAACAAGGTAGTTAGGAAGCAAGCTGGGTCCAAGGGAAACAACAATTTTCTATTCTTAATTGATTAATATAATCTAAATTATTAGGGGATGAGTATGGTTTGTATAAAGTTAAACTAAAATAATAATTAAACTAAATAAAATAATCAATAATAAAAGGCTTAAGGTATAGATTCACAGATAAAACATAACAATCAACAGTCAATATTTTAATTAATCACATTAACAAGCTCTTGCATTTATTAGTCACATAATTTAGAAATAACTAGATTTCGCATTTATTAGATCTAATTCTACTTATTGAAACTAACCTTAATATCAAAATTACATCTCTGGATTCATAAAATCAATATTGCGATACTAGTACAATCAAACCTGCGCGAATCTAATTGCATAGAATTAAAATAATCAATAGGAAATCAATATGCAACATCAACAATCACATAATATCCCTTCATATTAATCATGGATCCCCAAAACCCTAGAATTAAACTATTTACACATTTAAATCTAAACTAATCATAACAATTACAGTAAAAATATTGAAAGCAATAATTAAAAAATAATACCAAGCGAAAGGAAATCTTAACTTGTAATTATGGAAAGCTTGAATTCAACAATAAGATAAAAAAGTGCTCTAAAACTAAAAATCTCTCTAAAACTAAAGCTGGAAATTAATTAATGAAAAGCTTACTTAAAAAATTGGTAGTCTTCGTTTTTATAACAATAACAATCAGGCTTCGTAGGAAGACTCACGTGCCCAATCGGGCAAATGGTCGCTTAACCAGGCTGCCTTTTCTCTCATAAATCTCTAGTGATATGCCTGACAACAAACTCGATTTTGCTAGCCTTTTTTAGGATCTTTGAGTTGTGCCTTGCCATTTAGGGCCTTCTTCACATTTATTTGTGACTTGAATTCTCGTGGCCCTTTTTCTCCTAAAACCGAGCCCTTAATCAACGATTCTTTGGCCTTGGGCTTTATAAGCGGTTATTAGCAATGCAATCTGACTCTAGTATTTCGTAATGGACCAAAATGATCAGAAATCACCGAAAATTTGGAAATTCAAAAATCCATACCATTTCTACAAAATACTAAAAAACACATATTAGCAATAAAAATAACTCCATAGAGCTCAAAAGGGGGAATAAAACCGTATATGAATACACACATCACCGCCGGGCGTGCCCTACTTCCCAAATATTAGTGTTATAACTTAGTTTTAGAGCCTTTAGACTAGTTCAAATGTCTTGTAACAAAAATATTTGCTTGCAATTTGAATAGGCCCTTGGTATAATTGTACAAAACCTCACTTATGATGTTTATTGATGAAGCACTTAACAATAAGATCAATATGGGTCTTAGAGATTTTTGACCCTTTAATGTATCAAAGGTTTCAAGTAGTGTTAATGAATGAAACTTGTAGAAAGTCTTAATTGGTAACAATTTATAAGTTTGATCCTTAGAGTAGTGGCCATAAAAGCTTATTAAACTGTTTAAATTCTTAGCAAGAATTCTTTTCAAGCAAAACTTAACAATTTGATTTTTATTTCACTAATCTAATCCAATATATATATAAATAAATGAGGCATTTTTCGGGAGTATTCGGCACGCCACATAACTAATGAAAAATTAGAGGAAAAATTCATTTTATTATTCCAACTTTTTCCAATTTACTTTGAATAATCCCAACTTTCGATTATTCTGCAATAATCCTAACTTTTATATGCGTTTTCTTTTATCAATTCTGTCCGGTCATCAACCTATTATATCAGGTGACCCGGACATATATGTCAATACGAGGTTGTCCAAAAAGTAATTTTTTTGTAAAAAAAAATCAATAAAAACTAAATCCAAGCACCAGCCCACAACCACCAGCGGCGGCCACCCCCTCCCATGCCACCCAAAACCACCCCGAACTACCCCCTTCCGACCCCTTCCATTACCCCCACGCCGAAATCCGGCCCCACCGCATAAACCGCCATCCCCTTCATAGCACAACCCTTGAAACCATCCTCTCCCGAATCTTAACCTTTTAAAACGGACCCCTTCCTTCCCACACCCCTAAAATCGACCCCTCTTCCCCCACCCCAAAAATTGCCCCCCTTTCTTCCCCTCGACCACCTTCAAAATTGGTCCCCCCTTCCCTTTTAACGCACTACATAAGCGGTAAGTTCTGGGGTTGGGGGAAGGGAGGGGGGTTAGAAATCGGGTGGAGAGGGCTAGGGGAGGGAGTGGTTCGAGCTAGGAATGGGGAAGGGGTGGCCACCGGCTTTGGTGGTGGTTGTTATGTTGGGGATAACTCTTATGAATAGTGTTTATTGGTGGTGGCCACCCTTTCCCCATTCCTAGCACCTCCACACCACGTATTGTGTTAATTGGTTTAAGAAAATTTAAAACTATAATAGATGAAGCCACTCCTTTAATTAATTATTATCTCTACCTTAAAAGTTTGAGATAACTCTTATGAATAGTGTTTAAACAATTATACTTAAGATGAAGCCTAAAAAAGCAGTTGGCCCAAATGGTATACCGATAGAGGTGTGGAGGTGTTTAGCTAAGATTGGTATTGATTGGTTAACAAACCTCTTTAACAAGATATGGAGGGCTACAAGGATCCCACAAGATTAGAGAAAGGGTATCTTGGTCCCGCACTATAAAAACAAAGGAGAAGCTTAAAATTGCTCTTACTATCATGGGATCAAGCTTATGAGTCACACTATGAAGTTGTGGGAAACAGTGATTGAACATAGGTTGAGTGCATGCGCAAGCATTTCGGATAACCAATTTGGTTTTATGTCCGGGAGATCTACTATAGAAGCTATCCATATGATAAGACAAATAATGGAGTTATATAGGGTAAACAAAAAAGATCTCCATATGGTTTTTATTGATTTAGAGAAGGCATATGACAAGGTGCCAAGAAAGGTACTTTGGTGGGCAATGTTGAAGAAAGGTACTCCATGAAGGTACGTGAACCTGGTTAATGATATGTATTTGGATGTGTCAATAAATACGAGGATATGTGCAAGGGTTTAAAAGATTTTCCTATTACAATTGGATTGTATCAAGGGTCTACATGAAGCCCTTTTCTTTCTGTAATGGTTCTAGATGAAGTAACCAGGCCAATTTAAGATGAGGTTCCATTGTGTATGTTATTTGTGGATGATATAGTTTTGGTGGATGAAACTAAAGATGGAGTTAATGTCAAATTGGAGCAATAGAGGCCAAGGCTAAATCTAGAGGGTTTAAGCTAAGTCAGAGTAAGACTGAATATTTGGTATGGCGCTTTGGTACACAAATGAGCTTAGTTTTACAAAGCGCGCCTTAGGAGTGCCTAGGCGCTAGGCGAGGCTAGGCGCAACCCAAAACGCCTCGGTCTTCCTAAGCGAGAAGCATTCCAGAAGGAGAAGGAGCGCGTCTCCGACCGCCTCTACCAAGGCACAAGGCGCAACGCCTTGGCCCCCTCATGTTCAAAAGCAAGAGAAATAGTAGATCTGAGTCAAATAATAATGGAAAATCATTTTTTGTAACAAAAAAAAAAACCTTACCCGGTCTTTAGGAAGCTATTTCGAGTAAAAACCCTCAAAAAATTGCATGAATTTACTTCAATTGAAAAGCCTTCATTCTATAGAACTGTGATTTTATGAATCCCTAGTTTTCTGGTGTTGAAGCAATTGGAAAACAGTTGGTTGCCGACATGACAAAAATTTTCGGCAAGCATCTTATGGTGGTTTTTGGCACCGCATTTGCTGGTGTTCGTCGCCGGTTGAGTTTTCAAGTTTGCTTTTTTTATTTTTTATTTTTTTTTATAAATCCTCTCTCCTTGGACCTTTTTCTAACCAATTTGCGTTAGAAAAGATTTTTTTTTTCTTTCCAAATTCCTGTATTACTATAAGTCACGTGAACCCTGTTGCCACTTTCGAATTTTATTTAAAGTGTTTTTTTTTTTTTTTTTATGTTTTTTTTTATATATTTTTATAGGTTATTATTGGAAGTTTTTTTTATTGAAGGGATTTTATTTAATATTGTACGAAATAAGTAATTTAAAAAAAAGGAAGTAAATAACTATGCAATTTTATTCCAGAAAGAATTAAAATAATAATAGTAAAAAAAATATGCGCCTCATATACAAAGGCACGCGCCTTCGCCTTGTGCCTAGGCTCCTGGGGACCATTTGTGCCTTGGTGCGCTTGGCGCCTTTTAAAACTAAGCAGAGGGGGACAAGAGATGATGTAGTGAGCTTGGACGGAAAGGACTTAACCATGAGTGAATGTTTTAAATATTTTAGGTCGATCATGAAGAAAAATGGTGGCCCACGGGATTAAGTCAGGGTGGCTTAAATGGAGATCGACCTCGGGGGTGTTATGTGACCGAAGTATTACTTCAAAGCCTAAGGGGAAATTCTACAAGACTGCCATAAGACCTGTGTTGCTCTATGGTACAGAATGTTGGGCTTCTAAGAAGAAGCACATTAAGAAGATGGAGGTTACGAAAATGCGCATGTTAAGAATCTAAAATGGATGCGCGGGAACACTCTAAGAGATAGAATCAGAAATAAG